TTATCTACAAAAGCATCGTATTTAAAACATAATAGGTTATGTTTACATTAAAGATTATAATCTTACTCTCGTCTCTTATCAGCAGCTGTTGTACGAAAATGTCAGAAGACACCCTCCTCTTCCGAAATTTTGTCACAATGTTAAACAAATTTTGTGTAAGATTTATGTCAAACATTAATTTGACAGTTTGTTAAACATTGAAAAAAATTAAGAAGTAAAAAAAATGAGGAGCTTCTTGACTGATAAGTAGTAGTAGGGGTTTGAGTTTTCCAAGTTTAGATATTGTACACAAAAAACCTAAATGAATAAAAAAATACTATTGGCAGTTTGTAATTCCAGGGATGAAAAATCTAGGACAGAGAAACGAGGACAGGTTATTTGAGGATTCTCCTACATTTTTGTTTCAATGCAAAAATATACGATATTAAAATAAAGTCGGAATCGCCTCTAAAGATATAATTTTCTAACGACGAAACCTAATTAAAAAATCAGCTAATTTTTATACCCTTATGCATATGTTTGTAACAGGTAAAAGTAATCGAGATAGTCCCATGGTTCCTTTTGAGAATTTGTATAGAATAGCTTTCTGTGTCGATTTACGCATGTCTGCCTGTCTGTCCATGTTTTTGTGTGAGCAAAGTACATGTCGCAGTTATGATCCGATTTGGATGAAATTTGGCACAGGTCACTTATTTGGACCAAGTACGAACCATATTGAAATTGGAGAAAATCGGTTCAGTTTAGATATAGTTATATTTATGTAAATGGTGCAAAATTTTGCGCCGCGTACTCTGTTAGTACTCTGTACAAATTAATGTCTGTGAAATTTTGTTGAAATCAGTTTCAAATTTTACTGGAGAACCATACTGTCAATGTTTGTCCGATTCTGTATACAGGATATTGTACATATGATCATATTCCCAATGTGGTGAAGGGTATCATATAGACCGATAGACCGACTTTTGCTGGTAGCGACAAATTTCTCTGGACCTTTAACCCTCGGTTTTAGCGATTTCGACCGTATTACATTTGTATAGGCATAGTGACAATAAAAATGTGTCTATTTTTATTTAACATCATGTCAATAAAATACCACATCCACCACCACTACCATCATGCCACAAATGTTGACGTCTCTATGTAATGCGGTTACTCAATACGTGGGTTTTTATTTAGCGTGATGTATAAAAATATACAAAAGAAAAATAGATTTGACTTTGTGGCTTTGCTATTTCTAGATTTAAAAAAAAAAAATGATGTAAATACTAATCCGCAAAAAGTTTAATAAATAAAAATCCCCGTTTATGAAATAAGAATTCCCCGATTGGGCATAAAAAGTCCCCTGATTTTTAAGTGCAATGAAAATGGTCTTAAAGAAAGTATTATTGATTTTATAAAAAGTAAAATATAAAAAAGTAAAGTTTGCTTTCTTTTTTTTCTATAGGACAATTTTGTTTGAAAAATGCCCCTACCTGAAATTTCTCGAGAACCTGGTATCGAATTCAATAGACCTAAAGTGATGGTAACCCTCTATATGAGAGCTATATCAAAAGAAATATTTTCCTCCAGAAAATCTTACAACAAAAAATTTTATGTCACTTCATCCGGAATTGCTCAAAATCGAGAGGGTCCCATATGTTGAAGCATAGAACATAAACGGAATGAACATTTTTCAACAAGAGGTATTTTATTTCCGGAAAACCTCAAACCGGCTTGGTTTGGTAAGGTAAATACAGTTTAGAATACCTTAAATCGGCAGGGGCCCAAATATTGAGAATTTATGAAAAAAATTAGCCTAAATTGTCAATTTTCTGGCCCAAATTGAGTCAGAATCTTCGAAGTACCTAGATTCGGCCACCATAACTTTTTCATGGGAAATCCCAAAATGACAAATTACGATTTTTTTCGGGATTACGATTTAAGGACTCAAATCGTTTTCACTTCATTCTGATGAATTAGGGTAAACAAAAACTCCAAGATAACAACTATAGGTCGGGGCCAATGACAAAGCACTGCTCTTTATTCACAATTTTTTGAGGGGAGGTGTATTGTCTTCTGGGAGTCTTAAATGCTAAATACATACTTTAATAAGTAAAAAGTGCCAGTCAGTGTTGCCGAGAGGTATATGTCCCCCTCAGCCAGCAGGTCCCACCTTCGGATTTGATCTAGTCTTGGTAAAGATAATATATCGGACATTCTTTTTGCCTAATATTGAATTTATAAATATTGAAAACTTTAAACTTTTTGTAGGGGAGTTACCTGAAGGAGCGGCCCGATATTTTCCATCTTCAAACTTGAACTAAGTTTGGAAGAAAAATTACGATGTGCAAAGTTTTGGATGAAATCGATAACTTCCCTTCGATGGTTATCATGCACACCAGCCGGCCAGACAGGCAGAAGGACGGACATATGTAAATCCTCTCCAAATTGTTTGAAACGGATTTCGTCCAAACAAACATTGCGTATAAAACCAATATTTCGATGAGACACATTTTTGCAAAGTCTAATTACCCTCTTTAGCCATGCGGCTGAGGGTATACAAAATGATCGGTATTCCAATTTTCAGTCTTTGAGGTTTTCAAATTTATGTTCAAGGTCCTCGACTCATTTTCCAACCTGAGTGTTTGTAGTTTGATATTTGGTTTTGTCCTGACAGCATGGCAAAACTGCAATTTTAAAGTCCTGATCGATTTCATTTATTCTAAATGTCCACCTTGTTGTGAAGAGTACAAAAAGTTCGGACCAACCGAACTTTGAGACTTTGAGATTTTGAGGAAATGCATCTTTAAAAAGAAGGAAAAGAATATTTAGTCTCTTAAAAGAATCTCGTTACGACTTTAAGTTCCCAAAGCAATGTCCAGCTTTCTTCACTATAACTCCACATGATATGCTTTCAAGGTCTTACAGATATTCTCCTGTTTTTGGGTCTAAAAATATGGACCCACTTGAATTTTGCCACGTTTTTCTTTTATCTAACAAAATTGTATTTTATATGAACTCATCTTCTGAAAGTGTTCCGCACTAATGTGGGTCAACGAAGCCCCTTTTGATTCATTCATATACACATATACACACACCAAGCCCATTTATTTACCACAAAAATTTCGAGGAAATAACTCCACAAAAATCAGACAAGAAAAATAATATCTAGCCCTTAAGAGGGTCTCTACGAATTTGTTTAGTCATCGAACCATACGATTTTTTTTCGTTTTAACTCCTGTCGAATGATAATCCTTTTTCCTACTCAAATAATTACCCTTTTTTATATCATTTAGATACCTTTGCGATTCAGTATACCCTTCCCCAACAAATTTCCCTTTGCAAGACTTCGGAAAGTATTCCGCACATAAGTGGGTCAACGAAACCCCTTGATTCATGCATATGACCTTATCAGAAAAAAACACTTATCCATACACACTCACACACACAGAAAAAAACATTCTTTATTCACCACCGAAAATTTCGAGGAAATGCCTCTTCAAAAATCAAACAAGAAGAAGAAGTATGAATGTGGTCCCACTCATTGCAATTAAGCGAAACAAAACCGAAACAAAATTCTGCTGCTCAGCAAAATAAAAAAAAATCCCAAAATTCAATGAATCGAATTTTGTTGCCGATAAAAAAGACAGCAACAACAACAGCAGCACAGATGTTGGAAAGTATTGAACTGGCTTGCTTTGTGCGATTGATATGGAAAAGGCCAAAAACCAAACAAAAACAAAAAACCATACACACTTTTGCATTTGTCGTCTAGAATTTTGAGGCTGCCGCTTGTTGGTGGGATGGTCGGTGGCTGGTTAATGGGTGATTCGCTCGAAGTGAACCCATATAGTCAGCTAGCCGGGGTATGAGTCATAATAAAAATTCACGATATTAAAATAACGTCACTGTATTATTATTATTTTTTTCGTTGTTGGTGTTGTTGTGCCGTTATTGGTTGGCCATCTTCGTCGTCGCAGTTCGGTCGTTCAGTCGGGTTTTCTGTGATCGTATTTTTGTTTTTGCTATAATAGGGAATATCTCACGATTCATTTATAAAATGTCTAAAGCCGAACGCTGCAGTTAACAGTTGTCAGCTAAAATTCCAACAAAACAGACGTTCAATGAAAATTCGAAACAGTAATAAAAAATTCCAAAAACAATTACAACAACAACAGACAAAAAGTGAAGTGAACAAATACCATGTTGAGAATAAAAGAACAATTATTAAGCTATACAATGTTTTGGCGGCGACAGAATACAACCATAATTGGAGGTATTTGAAAAAAGGAGATTGAGTTTTAATCAAGTTAATTAATAAGAGAAAAAACAACAATAATAATAAAAATAAAAACAATATAGAGAAAAAATCAATAAACAAATACAAAAAATAAAAAAGAAAAAATGAAAAAAAAACAATTTTGAAGATATCAAAACAAAAGTTAAAAATTTTAGAAGAAAAGTAAAAAATCCCAAAAATAACTTTCAAAAAAAAATATAAATTTCAAAAAATTTTAATTTCCAAAAAAATAAATTTCAAATAAAAAATTATTTAAAAAAAAAATATTTTCAAAAAAATTTAAATTAAAAAAAAATATTTTCAAACAAATGTAAAAAAATCAAATTTCTAAAAAAAAAATTAATTTAAAAAAAAATGAATTTCAAAAGAAATTAATTTCCAAAAAATTAAATTTCAAAAAAGTGAATTTCATTTAACGTCTCTGTGTTTGTTCCCCCTCTTCTCTCTTTTTACAGATGACACTATGCAACGTAACAGTAGCAAAGCAAGTCATACCACATCATCATCATCATCCAATCACAACAACAAATCCCACAGTAAAGATCACCATAATCATTCATCCTCTCACAGCATTTCGTCATCCACATCGAAAAATCAAAATCACGACTCTTCAGATTCGGGTATATCAACAACCGGCAGTAGTGGTCATCCCCACCATCATAATAATAATTCGTCCTCGAAACAGCGCAAATCTCGCGGTAATAATAAACGTCAAGATGGCTCTGCAACAAATGCGGGAAATTCCACAGCTGCCGCCAATGGCAACCAGCAGCAACAACAACACCAACAACAAAATAAACGTGGGGGTGCCTCAACGGCTTTTACGGTGAATGATTGGTTACAAAACGATATGTATTGTTACGAGAGACGGTATATAGCTTCATGCGGCGAAGGTGAGTAATCACAAAAAAAAAAAAAAAATACCGTTAGACAAATATTATTAAGCATGTTCATGTCTTGTTATCAGTGAAGTGGATTTTTGAAATAGTTTTGAAATGAGGCATAATGATTTGCATGTCACGAAGTGGGTTAAGGGCCCAAGAGACAATGAGGGGGAAGTTTGTTCTCTCATTTATAATTTTTCCAAAAAAACGAGAGAATTTTTCAAAATATTTTCTCTCTTTTATTATTTTTATTCAGATTATACGTTAAATAAGCCCACGTGCTTGGGCATACGCTAGTCGACTTCTTGACTGAGTGATTGATGGAATGATTTCGTATTTGAAAGTCTAAAAATCGGCATTTGAAATTTTTAAAATTCGCTAAAAACCTTCAAAACACCTAAAATGTAGGCAGAACCTTATATGAGGTCAATATGAAAATATGGACCTTACGGAAGGAAAATTATTCGCCAAAGCCGAACAGAAGCTTGAATTAAAAAGATTGTTTTCAAGAAGCGTGGATTTTTTAAAGGAAATATTTTTTTCAAGACCTAGCAGACGCATACATTTTTTAAAAAAAAAATTTTAAGGCCTAAAAATGTGGATTTTTTTTTTAAAAAATTATGGTCTTACAGCGTGGATTAAAAAAACACAAGAATTAATAGAGGCGTTCATTTTTTAAAACATACTTTTTCAAGACGAAACGGAAGCTTGGATTAAAAAAAATATATTTTTCAAGACCTAACAGAGGCTTTGATTTTTTAAAAATATTTTTTCTAGACCTAACAGAAGAGTGGATTTAAAAAATAATTTTTCAAGACCTAATAGAAGCTTGGATTCATTTTTTGTTTTCAAGATCTGCAATTGAAGACCTAACAGAAAAAAATATTTTTCAGAATACCTAACAGAAGCGTGGATTTTTTTCTAATATTTTCCAAGGCCCAACACAAGCGTAGCCTGGCAGAAGCTTTGAAAAATTTAAATTTTTTTCAAGATTTCTTAAAAATATGTTTTCAAGACATAGCTGAATCTCCCAAGAAAGTAATTTATCCCCGACGAACCTGACCATCCTAATTATAGCCAATTTGGTTAGGAAAAGAGGTCAGGAGTATTTTATTCTCTGACAATCCTAAATAAAAAATTCAGACTCTTAAAAGTTGGGAATGCGGCTAAGCGCATCAAAATATTTTAAGAGGTCGGTTCAGTTTCATTATTTCCAAACATGAACCTCTGGACAAAATTATCGAGGAAGGAGTGTGAAAAAATCAAATTCTTATAATCCACAATTTTTTTAATACCCGTTAGTTTGTAATGCATATTTTCCACAAATAGAAAACATGACATTTGAGTCCATATATTCTCTAGTAGGTGGCATCTGAGTAGATCTACTTCACAATAGGTGGCATTCCTCACTAGGTGACATCTAAGAACATTTATGACATCAAAGTTCATCTTTTCCACAGAAAGTGACATCGGGAAACATTTTCTACACATTAAAAGGCATCTGACAGTAGATGGTATCAGAGGTCATTTATTTAACAATTGGTGAGATCTGAGAACATTTAACAGAACATTTACTCGACAGTATATGACATCAAAGCTCATCTTTTCCACAGAAAGTGACATCGTATAACATTTTCGACACATTAGAAGGCATTTGAGGTCATCTACTGAGTTCATCCACTCCACGATAGGTGGCATCTGAGAACATTTACTCCACAGTATAAGGCGTCAGAGCACATCTTATCCACAGTAGGTGGCATCGGAAAACACTTCTAGCATATTAGAAGGCATCTGAGGTCATCTACTACACAGTAGGTGGTATCTGAGGTCATCTATATAAACATTTATGAGATCTGACTTCATCTACTCTACGATAGGTGGCGCCTGAGGTCATCTATTACACAATAGATGGTATTTGAGGTCTTCTATTTAACAATTGGCGAGATTTCAGTTCATCTAATCTACGATAGGTGGCATCTGAGTGCATTTACTTCACATAATAAGGCATCAGGGCACATCTTCTACTCAGTAGTTGGCTTCGGAAAACATTTTTTTGCATATTAGAAGGCATCTGAGGTCATCTAATACACAGTACGTGGTATCTGAGGTCATCTATTTAACATTTTATTACATCTGAGTTCATCTACTCTACGATAGATGGCGCCTGAAGTCATATATTACACAGTAGATGGTATTTAAGGTCATCTATTTAACAATCGGTGAGATATCAGTTCATCATAGGTGGCGCCTGAGGTCATCTACTACAGAGTAGATGGTATTTGAGGTCATCTATTTAACAATTGGTGAGATCTGAGTTCATTTATTCCACGATAGGTGGCATCTGAGAACATTTACTCCACATTACTCGTATATGGAATCAGAGCTCATCTTATGTGGCGTCGGAGAACACTTTTAGCATAGTAGAAGGCATATGGGGTCATTTAATATACATTACGTGGTATCTGAGGTTATCTATTTAAAAATTATGACATCTGAGTTAATCAACTCTACGATAGATGGCATCAGAGAACATATTCTCGACGTTAGATGGCATCTGAGTTCATCTATTTAGCAATTGTTGACATCTGAGTTCATCTACTCCACGATAGGTGGCATCTGAGGTCATCTAATTCACAGTAGTGGTATTTGGTGTAATTTACGATACAATAATTGTTTTTTAAAAATTTTTAAATAAAAAAATTCTCCTATACAATCTTGATCCAAAGTTTATTGTGAGCCCATTTACATGCCATTTTTTAAAGTTTATTTCCCCACCAAAAAAAAATAACATTTTTATATGATCCGCAAATCGTTCAAATAAAAGGTTACACGCATTCTCAAAAAAAAAAACAATTAAAGTTCCTCAGCCTCATATGAACCCTTTACAAATTCCGAAAAAAAAAACAAACAAAACAACAATAACAAAGAAAGCATTTTCAAAAAAACAATAACAAAACAAAAATTCAGCTGATGAAACATGAAAAAGCAATTGCAAAATTGTCTGTTTATTTATTTATAAAGAAACTGCGACTTAGTAACTTAAGTAAACAAAACGTTCTTTACCCCGTACACTTTCCCTTTCTCCTACCCAAAAATATTAATAAAAAAGGTTAGTAAACCTCTAACCCTAATCCATTGAACCGCTTTTTTGTTATTCTTATCAGCAATAAACCACGCTTTTCCCCCAAAAAGAAAATAAATTAAAAAAATTAAAACCGAAATGAAAAATAAAAACAAACGAAAAATTAAAAACAAATTAATTTGTAAGGCAAATGTGCAACGAGAAAAAAATTGTAAACAAAAAATATATTCTAACATACCTACATACAAACAAATGAACCTTTAAGCTATTTTTAAAAATCAAATAAAAATTATAGTTCATGAATACTTTTTTTGTTGCTTGCCACAAGGTATTTTCTACCTAACCTGATCGTAATGACTCATTTCTATGGTTAGCTGGCTTTCCTAATAATTCTACGAAACCAAAAAAAATGACGTGTATTTTCTTCAATTGAAATAGCACAAAAAATTCAACTTATGAATGAATTAAATCGTCAACAAAAACAAAAAAACTTTGGAGGGATTAAATAGTATTATTCATTTATTTTGTTTACTACTACGACCAGTTGTAATATTGATAGTAAAATTAAAAAGGGTGTATAGTATTTTTGTGTGACGTCAGAGTTTTTTTTTGTTTCACTAGAAACAAGTCATAATAAATAATAAACAATAATTGTAAAGGAAAACAATAATAAAAAAATATTATTACAAAATTTACTTATCGATGACAGTGTGGGCGTGAGGTTAGTATTAATTTTCTGTACTAATTAGAAATTAATTTGTTTATATTTCAAATTGCAGGGTAGTAATCTAAACAAATGTGGATAAATGAAGAACATTAAAAAAATACATTTAAAAAAATAAGAAAATTCCCACATCAATGTGCAAAAAAATATTTTTTTAAAAAAAGGAAATATACCATAGACCGTGAAAAAAAATTTTAAAAATATATACTCTGAAAGTCTATGACATTTTTTTAAATCGAACCTCTTTTATTTTATAAAAAAATATGTTTAAAAAATTATACCACAACAAAATTTTTTTTTAAGAAATCTGACCACTTATAGTCCATGAAATAACTTATTTAAAAAAATCTAGGCTCTGGGAGTATATGAGTATATCTAGTCCATGAATAAAAATATTAAAAAAAAAATTAGGCTCTGATAGTCCATGAAAAAAAATATATTTAAAAAAAACTAATAAACCTAAGAAAATTTACGATATAGTAATTGACGTCCATCTACTGCACAGTAACTGGCATTGGAGAACATTTACTATACAGAATATGGCATCGGAAAACATTTGATCTATAGTATGTTGCATCTTGGGCCATCTACTTCACAATAGATGGCATCTGAAGTCATCTGCTCTCTAATAGATGGCATCAGAGCATATACTTCACTGTAGTTGACATCTGAGATGAACTACTTCACTGAAAATGGCGTCTAAAGTCATTTACTTAACTAGATAACATTTCAGGTTGTCTACTTCACAGTAGGTGGCATATGAGGTCATCTACTCCTCAATAGGTGGCAATTGACAACATTTACTCCATATTATATAGCATATACGCTCATCCCAACATTGGATGGCTTTTGAGGTCGTGTACTTCACAGCAGATGGCAGCTTAGGTCGCTATTCCTCAGCAGATGGCATCTGCCGTAATCTTCTACTCATTAAATGATTAGGTCCTTAAAAAGGATTTTAAAATAGATGGCACTTGAGAACATTTACTCCCCATTAGATGGCATTTAATAACATCTACTTCTCAATAGGTGGCATCTGAGAATATTTACTCAATATTGCATAACATTTGAGGTCATCTACTTCACAGCAGATGGCGGCTTAGGTCACCTACTTCTCAGCAGATGACATCTGCCGTAATCTTCTCCACATTATGTGATTAGGTCCCTGAAAAAACTATTTAAAAAATTTGTCTTCGATAGTTC